TTTGTACTTTAATGAAAAATATTGCATTGAAATACTATTTCGAAACTAAACTCACCGACAGCACCGCCTGATGCAAGTAAGTGCGATTGTGATCGTTCGGATTCTTCCAGTGTTTGTTGGCGCCAAGCGCAAATGCCATGCACATGACCGGCAAATTATGCACCGCAGCTGCTTTGTACAACATGAGATTCGCATCAAGTTTGGAGAAGGGCACCTCATCCAATATTTCCGGTTCGATTTCACCATCGGTAGATTCCTGATCCGAACCCAATATGGCTGGCGTTTCGTCTGATTCTAACGCCAAATCATCACCGATTAGCATTAAGTCTTCGCGTGAAATACTCAACGAGAGCGAGGGAAGATTTATCGATTCGTCATCATCATCCGATTTCGAACTAGAGCGATGTCGATCGCGATGACGACGACGGCGATATTTTTTCACTGCCCATTTGCGNTTATCGATTCGTCATCATCATCCGATTTCGAACTAGAGCGATGTCGATCGCGATGACGACGACGGCGATATTTTTTCACTGCCCATTTGCGTGCACCCAACGAAAGTGTTGTCGTCTTGCTCAGACTACGCGATTCGTCAGCATCACCAACACCTAGCACACTAACACCATTGCCGAAAATACCACCACCACCACCTCCGCCGCCGCCGCCGCTATCAATGGATAGCACCTCAGCAGTTTCGCTCGAGAGCAGCTCTTGCGGTTTCGGCATGGCACAAACGAAACGCTTCTCCACGTATTTCGCCTTAATCCACGCCTCGCGCACACTGATATCGCAATTCTCCGTGGCCGCCTTCAGTTCGCAACTGTCACCAATGCGTGCCTCATAAATGCGATTGACCACATTGTTGCCCAATTCCATCATCACTTTCACATTCTCCGTTTCCCAAGCGTCGAGGGTGAGCGAACGCACTTTACTGTAGTGCACACCCAGGCTGCGATGCACACCGGAGCATTCAATGCATAATGTAATGCCCAGATTGATGGAAGCCCAGCGCGGATCTGAGCCGCGACAATCACAACATTGCGAATTGCCGGGAATTTTAAGAAATTGCTCCCAATGGCTAGAGAATAAAAAGTTAGCACTTAAGACGGTATTTCCGATGGTTTTCAGGTTAGATGAATACGTACATTTTCCGCTTGGCATTGAATGCATTCGTCGCCAGTGACGACTGTGGTCTGGAATGTTGACTGTCGTGCTGTATGGCAGCACCAATGCTCTTTTGTAGTGCCGAAATCCATAGCGATAGCATATCAGCAGAGTCTGCTTGCAAAATATGCGATCTGGAAGTATAGTAAATGATTTACTTAAATGTTATCTTCAATAATTTTATATGAGCTTAAATGTATACACTAATTTATTTGTTTGCTAATTTTTAGAACCGTTTTGCTACTCACTTTGTTGGCGAAATTACTTCGAAACAGAATCGTCGATCGCCATCGTTGACTGGACGCACTGTGCAAATGCGTAAATCCTCCTCCATAACGGAGAATGAATCCTCATTACTGCGTTTTCTGCAATTCGAATCCAAATCACTTCAGCGATTTTTACAAACACAACATAAATTGGCAAATATGTGTAGGTAGAGTAGGTAGTAGTAGTAGTAGTAGGTGGGTATGTACGAGAGTGGTAGAGGTATGGCATGGCACACGACATAACCACAACAACAACACAAACATAAAATAAACGTAAAAATTAGGACGCATACACGAGTAGAGATGAAAAAGCGAGTTGAATACTAGAAACTAATATTAAAAATAATTTCTAATTTATACTAAACTTAGTGTGTACACTAAAAAATATAAAATCAAAAATATACAAAGAAATGATATGAATTGGGGGAGAGTTTTGATAGATCTCAATGATACCAAAGAAGCAGAACAATAACTGTTTTAATTATAAGTGCAATCCCGTATTCCTCGGACTCGGACTAGTAAAACTGTCAAAAAATAAAAATTCGCTCAGAGCGAGAGAGTAACATTGAAAAGTACGGGATCGCTTTCTAGTAAAAAATTGTAACTTCTGTCAACTTGAACATAACCTCCAAATTTTGGTTGTAAATTTTTGCTTATTTTGTATGTAAACACACCTAGTTCACTCATGCAAATAACCAAAAATCAACTTCATTAGAACCCACTTAAACAAGCAATTAAATACTTTTCAACATGAATTAGCAGAGTGCACTTTTCATTTGTTTACAATTTGGTTGCCAAACACACTACAGCCAGAANCCAGAATTTACTAGCAAAAAATTCTCGGACTAAAACTGTTAACTTCTGACAGAGAAAGAACCGTATTTACTCTATTTTTTGTCCTCTCAATAGTCAGAGAACCGAGTACGGGAACGATTTCCAGTAAAATCTGACTGATTGTGACTAGTCCGGATCGTACGGGATCGCAACTTATAATGTTTGTAACGTCAAACGAAATCAATAATCATGCCAGCACTTTTATAGGGACCAGAAACGTGGTTAAAGTTGAGGATGGTGGACAAACCTATTTAGATGGGGCTTGGTAGAGCCGCTACAATAATAAGAACTTTCGACAGAACTATTCTATGCATGTCCTATGGGCCCGTACGAGCGAGCGATGAGCACCGAAGTACATGAAAAAATCCTTGGATTCAAAATCTATGGGTGGACACCCACAGCAGATGCACCCATGAATACAATGGAAGAAAAAGTACAATTAACAACTAACCATGTCTCTTAGTTCGTTAGTACATACGAAATTTCAAGCAAAAACTGAAATAAGTACCACAAAGAAACTTGGCAAGCGATATAGTATGTAGTTCATGACCAGAGAACGGATTTTTAGGACCTAAAAACCTATAAAAAAGGCAAAAT